TCAAACGGTTTCTACGTATATCTGAAAAAAATTTCGTTACTAAATGCTTTTATTTCTAGTGTCAGATCACTAGACAATTTTAATTACGTAGGTTAGTCTTTATATCATCCTTTCGTTTAAGTCTCCAAGTCATTTGACAGAATGCTAGTTTCGCTCGCAAGGGTTCTTCATTCGTAGAAGTTTCATACCGCTGATCATAACTGGTACAAGCTAGCATGTATAAATTGGTAAATGCGAAAACTCATCTTCACTTCAGTTCAAACGATTTGGGCTGGTCACCATGTTTTCAAAATTGTCCCATAGAATAAGTGGACGATTAGTGCGCAGGGTGGAAGATATTTTTGGGTTGTCAACGAGTTTCCGTTCATCGATTTATTTGTAGCCCATGACCGCGAAAATGAATCAGAAATCATCGGTGTAACAAGTAATTAGCCAAACACAATTAATGTTGTCATGTAACAATGCGCTAAGATGCTCCGTCCTCTCAATTGTGTTGTCAGATTTATCCAGAAAGTGAAATATTCAAATACTTCGATCGAGTCTGTATTTCTATTTGCGCTACCCATTGATGGTCGTCCATTTAAGGACTGGTATAGTGATTCTTTAGTCTGGACCGTAATTTACGACCCATATTAAATAAAAACCGGTGAAATATTGCGCCTAGAATTTTGGCAACGCAAAAAGTCTTACAGACGCTAGACTGCGCTCGCTACTTGCGAAGGAACCAACAATATATTTCATGTTAAAGTTGGGTAGATTCAATTATGATGCACGTGTACAAACCATGTTCAGATTTGATGAGAAGTTTTTCGTGGGAAACTTAGAAATGACATACATATTAAAGAGCTCCCCCGCCAACAATCTAAGATTGTACACTGCTAAAAGCGAATCTCTTAAAAATCTTTTTTATGGACGCCCATAAAAAAAATGTTGTCATTTTTTAAAATGTTCTCGGGTAATGGGGGAGGGTATATGGGTCAGGGGCCTCCCTTGTCTATACGCCACTGCCTCTACCTCTACGGATGGCACAACCTCAGAAGCTATCGAATATTTTGTCCCCGGCGAGAGCATTTTTTGGACGCATTTAAATCAAAAGGAAGCATATCCATTGTAGCATGAGTCCTATCATGCCTATGCTCTTATGGATCTCGGAGCTCGTGTCAGCATGGACATAGTTTCTTTTGGTTTAAAGGCGTCCTTTTGTGAGAACATGACCCACAAAGTCTCTGACACCAAAAAAATCGAATGCAGCCATCAAGCCTAGAATTTAAGCAGGCATACCAGCACGGCATCCNGGGGGGGGGGGGGGGGCGTGGTAACCAGCTATGAAAACCGGCAATGGCAGGTTCGAGCGTGATTTAAGCAGTTAAATTCAGATTGACACGCTCAGCAGAGCGCGTCTTGAGTAGTGCTGTACGACCTTCGATGCGACGGTATGGCAACCGGCGTGTGTCCCATAACTCCCATAGTCTGAATTGCAATGTATCGATTGTTTTGCCATTTAAACCTATGGTAAAGAATCGATTATTAAGGTGTTCGCTGCGAACACCCTGTTTATCGATCCTTTTCCACAGGTTTAAATGGCATAACAATCGATATATCGGAATTCACGCCACGCCACTGTAATAGCCATCCTTACAACAGGTCTCTGGTTTCGAAGAAATCGATCCGTTACTTGCAATACCACTAAGACGAGTGGTTTTCACTTTATTTATAAGACTTTTTGCCTGTGAAAACCCTTGCAAATTCTATTATCAAATATTTATCAAATTATTTATTAATCGATTGCTCAAGAGATAATGGGTCAGTTGCGCTAGTCACAAAATCGTGTTTTGATGCTTGCCTCTTAAAGCCGTGGATAAGCTAAAAATAATGAGGTCTGTCTAAACCGCAACTTTCTACGTTCAATATTAACTGAGATATCGCCCTTTGAAAAGTCGGGGTTTTGCCGTCATTCACCGCGGCAGTGGCACCCTTAGTTTCTTCCACCTTGCTTTCATCCGAGTTTCACGTCGAGCAACCAGTGCAAATGTGCGTCACGCTGACTGATGAAAGCAAGGCGGAAGAAACCGAGGGTGTCACTACCGCGGTGGGTGACGTCAAAACCCCGATTTCACAAAGGGCGATATTTCGCTTATTATTGAACGTAGAAAGTTGCGGTTTACAGATTTTATTAGTCTTAGCTTATCTCCAAGAATCAAGCATCAAAACACGATTCTGTGACCAGCGCAACTGACCCATTAGGATGAGTAACTTGTAACTTTACCGGCAGTGGATCGAGTCAATTAGAGAGGTCGGACATGAAATTTTTGACTAAAACTGCAAATTTTCATGTTCGTTTCGCCATCACATTTTAAATTTCAAGAGGTGCTAAGAGAAGAAAATTTTACGAGGAAACCAATGAAACCACTCTTAGAACCTCAAATTTTTGTACAAACGGAGTTATGAGCGTTGAAAGTTTTCAAATTTTTTCCGACCTCTTCTATTGACTCGATCCGCTGTGCGGCGCGGGAATCTGCATCTATGTGTTGCTCTTGCGGTGCCTCGCCAAAGAGGTAGGTGAAACTCCCTTTTTGCAAAAAGTCATGTGTATAAAAGTGGTTAGGGGTCTAAATGCTGTGGGTCAAGAGTTCAAGGTGAATAGGTCTGGGTGACTAGCGCGAGTAATCCCGGATTGTGCAAAATGTCGTACCTACCATTGATGAACACGAGCAGGAGCAGCATACGCGTAACTGGAAACGCTTTGTGAAGGAGGCCCATCAAGGGCTTATTCACGCCTTACGCTGGTCTACAGGCATTGAGAGACTACACGATGCCCTCCCAAGTAGCATTTTTCACTGTAAAAGTTGCAACAAGTTGAAACAATGTTGGTATAACAAAGTTGCAACTTTCGGTCAACTTTTGGTCGATAAATGCCGATTTTCGGCGATCTGATCGGAAGACAAGTTGCAGCCTGCTGAGATTGCAAAATTGCTGAACCAAAGTTGTTTAAAATCTAAACATAGGCATCCAGCAATGATTTGAAGTTGAAACATGTTCAAACTTAATTGCAACTAGTTCCAACAATGATAGCTCCTTGGGGGGAGAGAGTAGGCAATCTGCACATCAATCTATTAGTTGCAAGAATCAAACGATTTTGTTGCAAGTCGTTGCAACCTCTGCTTCTTGGGCTTAGTTCTAAACCCGGCAATCTCAATTGCCCTGTCTAAAAACTATGCGATCAATATAATTTTAAAATTGGAAGAGCGAGGAAGCTGCCACGTTCATGTCATCTCGTAAATATTCTGGTATCAAGTGAGCAAATTTGGAAAATTTTAAAAACAGCAAAACGTTTTGGTTATCTTCACAGATAATTAATTAACATGATTTCACGATTTTTAGACAGGGCAATAAAATTTCTGGGTTTGGAACTAGGGGCCTCAATTACGATCATGAATTTTCTGGGGGGCAGCTCCCCCGAGACCTCTCCTCAAGCTACGCCCATCACTGAAAAAAAGAGTTGGGTAAATCCGAACTAGTTAGGATCATATGGAACCAGGTTTTGTTCGGTACACACGACCGAATTATTCGGTCGGTTCAACCAAATTGTTCGGTTTGTGCGACCGAACTATAATAAATTCTTACAGTTCGGTTCAGTGGACCGAAGAGTTTGGCTGAGCAGACCGAATAATTCGGTTGTGTGTACCGAACAAAATCGTGGCTCCATACGATCCTAACTAGTTCGGATTTACCGAACTTTTTTTTTCAGTATAGGGTACAGGATAAAACTTCTTTGCCCATCAGGCGGTTCCGGCGATGAGTGCGGACGAATAACTGAATGCCTCAAGAGGTATGTACAAAGCACAAGATTGAAAACATGAACTGAATATTTGGACTGCATTTTGCAATTTGGAACTAGAAATTCTAGCCCGGTTTAAAAACAACGTATGTGCCGTTAGTTTCTCTATGCACAAAAGTGTGTTTTCAGATGAGCCAGAATTTATAGTTCCAAATTGCAAAATGCAGTCCAATTGATACTTAGATGATATGGGACTAAAATAATCCGAAAAAAGCGAAACATAAAAGTGCTGGACTAAAAATTTATTTTAACATTATTGTCACGTTTTGTGAAACAGATACACCGTACATGCGTCTCCGTTTGATCATTTTTGGAAACAAGGTAAAATTAATGATCTGGTCGAGTTTTGATTTCTATAACTATCGAACGGTCCTTTTGTATTTGTTTTAAAAAAGACACTCCTGACTACTAACAACAAACATTATAAAAATGGTGAGGAAAGATGTTGAATATTTAGGTGCTAACTGATTAAAGTGGTGCCTAAATGCTACTTCAGTACTTACAAAAATATTATTAAATCCTAACTTAATATTACCGACTATAGAGATGTAGATTAAAATATTTAGAATGCCTGAAAACAAGATTATCATGATGTGATGAAAACATGTGTAAACACTTCTCAAGTGCTAACTAAAATACTAAATACCACTGAATAGAGCTGGATACCAATTAAAATATTTAAAATGCCCGAAAAAAAGATTAGCATGCCATGATAAGGAAATATACTACCTACCTTTATTTACACGTATATGCCCCAATATTTTATGAAGAAGAGTGTATAAAATGTTCCATACTTTTTTCTTTTTTTTTTTGAGTGTACGTAACAAAATCAAAGAGAGTAAAAGCAATAAAAAGTGAAAAATCAATGGACGTTAAAAGATTTCTTTTTGTTCTATATCATTTGGCACTCATCATCAGTGAGAATTTCGAATAACGGATACGCGTATTTTGTATATTTTTAATGGGAAAAATTAATTTTCTCTCCCCGAATTTTTCATGACAATTTATTTTTAGATGTACTGAATTGGACTTAATTTACTAAATTGAACTTAACTTACTAAATTGGACTTAATTTACTAAATTGGACTTAATTATAATTACTGTTGGAATAGATAATTTTGACATACGTCACTCCTTCAAGTCAATTTTAACCAATTTGAGTTTCCATATCCTGGGTTCCAGACACTATCGTTGTTTCCTCCCTTTCCTCCCGCTCTCCTTATTTGGATCACCCCCGAAACGCATGGGAAGTGTTCCATCTGGCGCGAACGTGATGTCACACTTTTCACCAGGGGGGCACACATCTTTAAAGCCGTATCCTCGGCGACGTTTTTCATCCTCATCAGATTCTGATTCTGGTGGGGGTGGAGGAGGTGCGACCTGAGAGGGGTGGAAGGGCAGAGGGTGTTTAGTCGGAGCGTTTTTAGTTGGAGCGTTTTTAGTTGGACCGTTTGTAGGTATATATTTCCAGATGCTACTACCAACGCGTGTAAATATACTCGTTGAGATGGATTTTTCTCGCTTTATTTCTTCATCCTTTGGTTTCTCGCCTGTTCGATTTTGAGGGGAGCTCGTGCGCAATCTCTCCGATTCCCTGCGGACAGAGAATATAAAATAGATAGAGGTTGGACGATAGCTGTAAATTATTTCAGTGCTGGAGGAATCGGAAGAGGGGAAAACACGAACAAAGAAAAAGAACGTGATTCAATCACTACTGAAAACTATGAGCAATTAATTACAGTCATATCGTGCGGGCGGTTCTGCCACACAGATAAAAATATCCGTGTTTTTTGTTACTGCGGATTATTTTATTCCTGTTAAAGCGACCAGAAAGATTTGGTCGATCGATCAAATACCTTGTTAAATCAGCCAAGACGTTAGGTTATATCAAGTGTCTCCGAGACATCCAAGACTAAGAGAGTATCCTGCTGACCTGTACAGTACTTGTGCCATTCTACTTCTTCAGATACCAGAAATAAAATAGTTTTCAAATGTTTTTGTGGTTAGTTGAAGAAGCCCGAACTTTCAATTATTATTTTTTAGTAGTTAAGAAGAACGTCAAAATACAATTCTGAAATCAAATCATTGCAATTTTTGGAACTGGTGCATTGAACTATCAACTACTAGATTCGAGTTTGATCCCAGCCGTATATGTCTAGTAAATACAAGTTTGGAGTTTTCCGATCAAAAGATGCAGTTAAGCTAACAAAAAAATTTCCCAATAGTACTGAAGCAAAAACTAACCAAAATTTTGTATTATTTTGTGTTCAAATTCCCATAGTATACCTGATAAAAATTGGCGATAGGAGCTGCGTTTCAAAATACCATAGAAGTTCTTATAGCCGACTAAAGAATGCTATTGAAAATCATATAGCTGGCTGTAGAAAGCAGAGCAAATCATATAGACGGGCTATACGAAGCTATAAAAAAGTATACAGTCGGGCTATAGTTTCTATCGCCGGGCTTTACACTTTATCGCCATTGGCTATAAAAGGCTATAAGAAATTGTGTAGAAATTTGTGTGCTTTGGAAATCATTAAGTTTAATACGGAACTGCCTTAATATTTACAAAACTCACATTATTTTTTCCTTTAAAAAATTTTTTTTTTCATCAATTAAAATGAGAATTGTCTATACAGAGTGTGCAACATTTCAAAATCATGAGTTGAAAAACGCTAATTCCGCAAGATTAAATATTAGAGCCTAACACAGCGCGGAGCGGCGACGCACTGGCGCCTACAAACCTAACAGGGATACTTCACGCATTGCGCAATGCGTGAAGTATCCCTGTTAGGTTTGTAGGCGCTAATGCGCGTTTCGCGCTCTCTGCCCGCCCGCCGCGCCGCAGCCTGCCACGGCGTCTGAAGCAACTATTTCACACCAGAGGTATTGCACAGTATCATCAGAAATTGAAGGCGCTCCAACATATTAAGAATGACAGGCATTCTTCAAAAGTACGGAACATTCCTCGCAAAATAAATCAAGATACTACGGCACAAAAAGAGAGCGGTGGTCCAAAAACTAACTAAGTCCTAGTATCCGTATTTAGTAACGTTTAGCATAAACTTTATCGTCTGGCTGTTGCTTAGTCGCCATCGGCTATAAAAGGCTAAAAGAATTAAACAGCCGGCTACAGAAGCTATTGGAAATCTTACAGCCGGCTTTAGGTCTATGGTATTTTGGAACACAGATTCTACTGCCAATTTTTACCAGGGTATAGCACAATGTTGGTTGCTTTTTCTTACTATATACAATCTATCATGTAAATCAACAGTTATATTCACCCTTTTTTTTTAAAAAAAAAGAATTGTTGCTAACATATGTTTGAACTAGATATTCAGGCTCACTACGAGAATCATCACTATCGAATCACAGTGGAAAAGATGGAATATCTCTCCCGTGGTTCCACCCCGCTGGCTCCTAAGAAGCCGCTGAGAGCTGCTATCAGCTAATCGTTAAGATAATGGCGAAAAGCTGTCTGCGTCACTGCGTTAGGGAACGTACCTTTTTTTGCGCGTTGTGATTCGTTTAAACATGTTGTCGAGAAGGAGATTTACACGTCATCAAAGACTCAATATTTTAAATTAAAGTTCAAGTACAAATGTCACGTGTAATGATAACTGTATTCCCTGAAATCCCTCAAAACCAACGGCACAATCGAAAAAAATAGACTGTATCAGTAATCACATCATAGAAAGACATCAATAACTTTGGAGCACGGGGCTCATTATTTTGAATATAAGTAAAATTATTCATGAATTTATTTATCGAGCGCAAAGGAAAATCACCGCCTAACTGAGAATTTTGGCGAAAATGTGTTAGCGACTTTGCCGCGTTCTTCAGTATTTAATACGCAAGACGCTGTAATGTAAAAAAAAGAAAAACATTGCAAATCTAACCATAAAATTACAAAAGTGGCTAAGTTTCTTGCTTGCTCTGCTAAATCGTCAGTTTGCAGACACTGAAAAAAATGGTATGCTGTTTTACCACCTAGGATGTCAAAAATGTGTCTGGTGATCCTAAGATGCAGCCTTGATGGCCCACGCAGTTGACTTTGCACTCAAAGGATGTAAAGTTAACTGCGAGGGCAGTAAAGGCAGTATCTTGGTATCACCAGACACATTTTTGACATCTTAGGCGCTAAAACAGCATATTATTTTTTTCAGTGGATAGGCGGTATTGCGTTCCTTAAGAACCTCGTGGAATGAGGCGGAGTCGACTTACCTGGGTGGACTTCCTCGCTTTGCACTTGGTGAGGCTCGTCCCTCGTCAGGTGATAGGGGCCGTCTTGGTGATTTGCCGCTCTTCCGCTCGGGTGAAGCTATTGGTGATTTGCCAGGTGCATACACAGGTGGAGTTGGTGATGACGGCGGTGAAGAGCCTTTCCTCCTTGGAGATGAAGGGAATCGTGGCGGCGATGGAGGATATTCTAACCTTTCAGGTGAGGCGTATCGTGGAGACCCTGGAAGAGGTTCTTGCTTTTCAGGTGAGGCGGATCGTGGCGACCTTGGAGGACGTTCCGTATAAGCAGGTGAAAGTGGCGGCGTGGGTGTCCGCCCTCTAGGCGGAGACGACGGCGGAGTTCGTTCCCTATCAGGTGAAGGTGGAGGCGGAGTAGGTTCCCACTGCTCAGGTGAAGGTATTCGTGTCAGTGGTGAAGTGTATGGCCACCCTCTAGACGGCGGCTCAGTATGTTCCCATTGCTCAGGTGAAGGTGGTGGTGCCGGCGGCGAAGAAGGTTTCTTCCCTTTAGGTGAAGATTGCCCTAAGGGCGGCGGAGTAGATTCCCTCTGTTCCGGTGAAGGTGGTCGTGCCGGCGGCGAAGAAGGTAACCCTTTAGGTGAAGGTGGTTTCTTCCCGTTAGGTGAAGATGGTCTCTTCCCGTCAGGTGAAGGTGGTCTCTTCCCGTCAGGTGAAGGTGGTCTCTTCCCGTCAGGTGAAGATGGTCTCTTCCCGTCAGGTGAAGGTGGTCTCTTCCCGTCAGGTGAAGATGGTCTCTTCCCGTTAGGCGAAGATGGTTTTTTCCCTTTAGGCGAAGGTGGCCCTGACTGCGGTGAAGTGGGTTCCCGCCCTCTGGTTGGAGATAGTCGTGCTGGCGGCGTCCCAGCCTCCTCCTCTTTAATATAACGCGGTGGTGACTTTGGAGACCGGGTGGGACTCTCCTGTTGACCTGGGGGTGAAGCGTAATCATCCATGAACATATCTCGAGACCTGGGACTCTTCGGTTCACCTGAGCGTGGTGATGACCTTGGAGACGGCCTGGGGCTTTTCCTCTGAGGTGAAGATTCGCCATCACTCTCTATGATCATGTCTTGAGGGGGACTCGAAGGAGAGGCTGGGCGCGAACGCCGGTCACGGAAATCTGGATGCTCAGGTGACGCATCACGTGACCCGATTTTAAGTCGTTCCGATACATCGACATCATAATCAGTGCCTGAGCTTTCTTCCTGACCGAATACACTGCTGCGTTGACAAAACCATTAAAAAATAAGACGAATTAAGGTAGTTGTACATACTTGATATTAATAATTCGCAGGAAGCGAGCTTATTTTTGTGTCACGTGACACGGGCTCTTTTAAGTTAGTGCAAATCACCGATGTTGCAACGTTATCAATACGTGAATCAAGCTCACAATTAATTTTTCTTGCATTTATTTTAGTTAGATTAGCATTTGAGAGCTTTTTTTTCATTTTTATTTTATTTTTTTAACCGAGATGAAAGAAACTAACCGAAAAAGGACAATTCTCGGCAAAAACATTCATCAAATGTTCAAAAATCATTTCAAAAGTTGGGAAGCCTGACATTTGTTGACCGAACAGAGGGCGGCACTTTTTTTGTAGTAAAAGGGTTGAGATGGCAATAATTTCTCTACACAGGTACTAGGTTATTCGGGTGCGACGATTAACAACAACCTCCGTGCGTTTCTGGCGAAGTGCCTTCAATTTTGAACATGCAACACGCACATCCGTGGAACACGAACAGTTTTATCAAGGCGCTATAGTCAATTCAGTCTAATCCTAGTCTCATTAAAGCGGAAACGGCGGAAACGCCTTAGATTCTTTAATATACAACTAGCACATCCAAAAGTCTGAAATTTAAGCAAAATTGAAAAAAACTCGATTTGCATCAAAAACTCTTGAGGGGGAAAATAATTAATTGTGAAATTTTTTCACGTTTTTACCAAAAAATCGAGTTTTCAACTTTAGCCCGTGAATAGCTCGCCGTGCGATCAAAAATGACTATTTTCTGTGAGTAAAACGCGACATAGCGAAAAAATGCACACTGACAAAATTAAAGACCGTTAAATTTTCCATAAGAATTAAATTGGATATAAAGACAAATTTCAAAAAAGTCACCCATAACATTCATCCATCGGGACAGCTCTTCTCTAAGGTCAAAAAAATGCGTCCGCACTCCGATAGTATATGCAAGGGGAATGAAATTGGCCACTCAAATAGGTTCTAGTGGTGATAAAACTACAAGCAGTGCACTTTTGCATGTAAATTTTCAAAAAATTGTTCTTTTTTATCGAAGTAAGTCCAAAAATACGACCCATTACTTTCCTTGCAGCGCTTTAACCATAGCCTCACTGACCTGGTCAAAATAGACCCGCCGGCTCATAAAAATGTTTGTCATTTTCCTGCTTTTCCACCTAAAATGTTGTACTTTACAAAGTGATCCACAGAGACCCTCTAGAAGTTTGTTCTAACTTGGTTTTTTTTTTAAAAAAAAAAAAAAAAAAAAAAAAAAACAAGTTGAAAAGTCGAAAATAATAAAGATCCTGAAGCAACCAACGTAACATATCCTCATTATCATAGTTAGATTGAGGCAGAATGAATGCATAATTTATTGTTTCTATCTTTGCAGATCGATATTTTCTTACTTGTTTTCCACGTGAAAAGAATCTGAAGATTCTCGCGGCTGGGAGAACAATCTGTTAAATTTATCCTTTCCCGAGGTGTAAAGATTTTCAAGGTAGCCTCCTGATCTCTCCGGACGGCCATTGAACTGAAAAAATGTACGTATAACAATAGAAAAAACTATGCAACTACCTATTTTGTTTGATTGTTGTGTCTATGAAAAAGGTTTGAATAGTAAAAAACCATACATTTGTACAGCACTGTCAACTGACATTTTAACCTTTGGATGATTTCATTACATGTTGTATTCAACTATTTTGAGCACTAAATGGCTAGGGGTGTCAGTAGGTCGTACTTATCCTGCGTCCCCTCTAAACAACAAATGCTCTCATCCCATTCGCCATTTTTTCCGCGTCAAATGACTGCCAGACAAAATCGCTTGGTATTCCGATAGGCCTTACCTTCAACTACCAAAAACACGCCCGACTCAATTTTGATCAACACATGCTTCTGAGTACGCGATTTTATTTTTATTTCCATCCTTCATTTTCAGCATGGATAAACACGAAATGGTCCGGATTTCTGTTTCCCCTTCGTCTTTCCTTCTTGCTTTTATCTGCTGTGATTTTAGTGAGGTCCAGTCGTTTTCGTGTAAATCACCTGTTGAAACACAAATATAACGAGCTATGGCATGCAGCTGAGACGGCTGGATTCCAATCTGTAGTCTCGAATTTCTATAACTGCACTTACGCGCCTTGTCTTTCAAGCTCCTCAATTTCACTTTTCATTGCCATGTGGTACCTACTCCCAAGGATAAAAAGCTAATCACAAAAACTCATTCTCGCAGATTACTCGATTGATTTTTGAGGCTTTGCTCACATGTTGAACCAATCAATATCGATACGATCTCAGCGATAGAACTCCTGTTTGAGGTGTCGAATTCGGCCCATGCTCTATTCCGAACATAGTTGGTTGCTCGTCCGTGTGATTATGGTAGGGTTTTCTCATTATTTTTTTATTTTCCCTTCCTCTTTGTTTTCTTTCTTACACTAAAGCACGGAGTTCAAACCTGAGACTTTGTGGACGGAGTGGTTCTAAAGTTGTAAGCGTTTCCATCGCCTATTCCAGATAATTTCCTGCTTACACTCGTGATGAGGCTTCTGAAATTAGGCAAGAAAAGATGATGGAAAAGTTAGGGAAAATGAGAAATCAAGGAGGGAAATAAATTTAATGTAACACAAATGAGAGAGACATGTAGAAAAATTGAAATCATTTAGTCAAAATCGATATCCTTCCATATGTACCAGTGGCGTGGCGTGCAGGATCGATTATCGATATATCGCCATTTGAAGCTATGGTAAAGGATCGATTACTAAGGTGTTCGCTGCGAACGCCCTGATAATCGATCTTTTTTCATAAGTTTGAATGGCGAATCAATCGATATATCGCAAAGCACGCCACGCCACTGATATGTACTTGAATATTAAGGACTTGATTCGGAATGCCACAACAATGTCTTCAATGAAAAGTGTCCAAAATTAAATGGCGGAAATTTTAGGAATCGACTATGCCGACCAAGATGACACTTTTTTGTTCTATGTTTTCCTATTTGCGCCATATTAAGGGGGATATGACCCGTCGAAGTTTCTCAAAAAATGTATTTATTCTAAAGTGTAGCCACGGTCTGTTTTCAACATAATTACGTTTAATTTGGATATGAGAGGTATATTATACGCTTTATTAATTTTTGCTGGTGACAAAATAAGTACAAAGCTGAAAACTAGGGGGAGTTTGGCCCCTCTTTCCCGAAAAAAACATTATATATTTCCCACTCAAACGAAATAATGTCATCATATATATAAGCTCCAAGACCTCCTAATTTTGCGTAACTGGTATAACGCTTAGTTCTAGCGTTCTACCGGGCCGATTTTAATGATTTTTGCGGCTATCGACGGGCAATTGTCTCTACATAAGCCAACTTTTTTCAGATTTTCAAAATATGGCTCAGGCTTTTTTATATTAAGTGGTAAAGTTGCGAATTCTCCCATTTAAACAATGTAAATTTATACTTTTTGTCATAGTTCGTTTGAGCGTTCTACCGGGCCGATTTCTATGATTTTTGCGTAAATCGACAGGTAATAGGCTCTAGATGAGCCCGCTCTAATCAGATTTTGGAAATAGGACCCAGGTTTTTTTAAAATCACGTTATAAAATTCAGTGAATTCACGGAATGCTCCGGGACTAGGAAAAACCGGAAGTTATAGAGGTTCGTTGTCGAATACCGGTGGTTCCCTGATTTCACAAGGCGCTCAATGTATACTGTACAGCAATAGGCTAGGATCGTGAACGCAGTCACAGGTTTGTCTAAGCCACATTCGATTGAAACTTATATAAATTCGGAGCTGAAAACATTCTAAACGACGTATTACAGCTGTATTTCAAAGATGAAAGATTTGCATTACCATCTTTCGCCTTTAGCACACGAACTTGGCATTAAACAGAGTTTCTTTCCCTGGTGAAAATTGGCGATAAGAGCTGCGTTTCAAAATACCATAGGAATTCTAATAGCCGGCTAAAGAAACTACAGAAAATCATATAGCTGGCTGTAGAATGCGGAGAAAATCATACGGCCGGGCTACACAGAGCGATAAAAAATTATGCAGCCGGGCTATAGTTCCTATATAGCCGGGCTTTACACTTTATCGCCTGGCTGTTGCTTTTTCGCGATCTGCTATGAAAAGCTATAAGAAGTTGTGTAGCAATTCGTGTGCTTTGGAAATCATTAAGTTTGATACGGAACCACCTTAATATTTACAAAACACACGTTATATTTTCCTTTAATACATATTTTTTCCATCAATTAAAACGAGAATAATCCATACAGGATGTGCAAACATTTCAAAATCATGAGTTGAATAATGCTGACTCCGCCAGATTCAATATTAGAGCCTAACACAAAGGGAAGCGGCGACGCACTGGCGCCTACAAACCTAACAGGGATACTTCACGCATTGCGCAACGCGTGAAGTATCCCTGTTAGGTTTGTAGGCGCCAATGCGCGTTTCGCGCTGGCTGCCCGCCTGCCGCACCGCAGCGTGCCACGGCGCTTGAGGCAACTATTTCACACCAGAGGTATTGCACAGTATCATACGAAACTGAAGGCGCTCTAATATATTAGTAACGGCAGGCATTCATCAAAAGTACGGAGCTTTCCTCGCAAAATAAATCAAGATACTACGGCCCAAAAAGAGAGCAGTGGTCCAGGATCAGCCATCGGCTATAAAAGGCTATAAGAAATTGTGTAGCCGGCTATAGAGGCTATTGGAAATCTTACAGCCGGCCGTAGGTCTATGGTATTTTGGAACACAGATTCTACTGCCAATTTTTACCAGGGTTTCTCTTTCTATCCTCATAATACAAGCATGTATCATTTGTCGCACAGTAAAGTT